TGTCGCCCCTGCCCGGCGGGGCCGGAGTCTCTGGGTGCTGCCGGTGTCCCTGACCGAACCGGGAGGGGACCAGCAGCCAGTGGAAGGAACGGGGGCGGGCCGAGGCGGAGCTCTGGGAAAGTCCCAGGAACCGGCCGAACCCGGCGGCGCTAGCAAGAACTGAGCCGTTTATGGGAAAGAGAAATCGAAAGCGGCGGCTCGCCCGCTAGGCCCGCCCACTTCCAAATGGGGCCCGCCCCGACTCTTGGGGAGCCGGCTTTGAAATCAGATCTGTTGGAGGGAGTAGCCCTGGTGCCCCTTTTTCTCCAGCACGCGCACGCTGCCCTCCCCTCCGATTCTGCTGCACGGCTTTTCGGACCCCACCTCGGGGCGGGGCTCCCGCGTCACCTGTCTCCGGGTAGACCTGCCCTGCACAGGTTAGCGTCCCCGCCCGGAGCCTCGGAGAGAGGATTCGGCGCCCCCTGGCGGCGGCGCGGAGGGGCGGGGCTGTACGCGGGGCTCCGCGCGCTGTCCCAGGTCGGAAACCAGTGCCCGAGGCAGAGAGGAGCGCGGCGCCTGGCAGGGATGCTGCGGGCGGGAGCACCAACGGGGGATTTACCCTGGGCCGGAGAAGTCCACACCGGGGTAATGCGGCTGGCCTTGAGGGGTGGAGAAGGTGGAGCGGTCGGGGGACCCTGGCAACGCTGACAAGTGAATAGGGAGGTAACTTGTAGCAGGCAGTGTTGGCACTCTGCAATCGGCCTAGGGTGTCCCAGCTCTAGAGGGGGTCATCTAGGAGTCCGTGATGGGCTGGGGGACTCGAGGCTGTGGAGAGGGGGTGCTTTGGCCCTTAGCTGTAAGCGTCAATGGGAAGTTGCTCTAAAGCGCTTTCACTTTCACTCTGGTCTGGGGGAGGGCTGGTTAAATCCAAGAGGGGGTTGGCAACTGTATAGCGATGAAGAAACGGTGCCTGGGTGAAGTAGGGCAGCACTTGAGAGAAGGGAGCGTGGACACTTACTGAGAAGAACCAACTTACCACACAGACATTTGATAAACTTGCCCTGGGTAACTCGTAGCCCAGGCACTCATAACGGGGTCTCTATGCACCTGTGCCGTCTTGCCCAAGCTGGGCCAAGGAGGGCTTCCGCCCGGCCCAGGTGGTGCTGGGGTCTCCCTCCCCTGTGTCTTCCCACCACTCATGCACCTGCTGCAGAACTTTGCCCAGGCTGAGCGCGTGGCCTTAGGCATATGGCCACCGTAGGCTGGTTGGCTTCGCTCTCAGACTTCTGGCACCATTCTTGGCTTGGGGGCTGCTTCGTTGTGGGGAGTGACCTCTAGTGGAGGTACCCCTGTTTGCTGCCCCTCTATTCAAGGCAAATTGTGTGTCAGAATGCACACTCCAGGCGGTATCCCCCAGGACCAATGTAACATATGGGGCGGTGAGAAAGAGCAGTAAAACCATTGACAAATTGGAAATGCTCCCTTCAAGCCGAGTAAGCAGTAGAATGTCAAAGCAGAAGTGGAAACAAAGGATGGGAGTTAGACCTGGGTTTTAGTCCAGGTCTGCCATTAATTATGTGACTTTGGATAAGTCATTTGTCTTCTCTATAATTCAGTTTCTTCATTCATACTGAGACTCCAATGCCTCTCCCAGCTCAATGGGTGAAAAAGAAAAGTGTAGCTTTATCCTCCCTCCCTCTTCCTTAATTCTTTATTGATCTGGAAAAGTCAGCTCAAACTACCCAGATGTACTCTTTGTTCAAATCTCTTTTCCTGGTTACGGTGATAGCTATTTACCGCTTGATCAGAAATTTCTTAAAAAATAATAATTTTAAGATTTATTTATTTAATTAATTTTATTTGTTGTTATTATTACTTTTTTTAATCTTACCAGAGAGAGACAGAGAGAGAGAAAGAAAGGGAAAGTGAGAAAGCAAGCCTCCAGGCCCAGGACTCAAACCATGGTCAGCCACATGGGAGTCCAGCACCACAACCACCACACCACCTGCCACCCTCCGTGAAGTAAAATTTTTGTTCTAGACAATGTTCCTTGCTGTTTCACTCCTACCTGGACTTTGGGGGATACTAACTCCTCAATGTTTTCTGTCCATTAAACTGAAAAGGCTCATTTCTGACTGGGAGAGGAGGAAGGGTCCAAAAGAGACCTGCCCTTGTTTCCCAGGCTCACAGAAACCCCCTGTGTCGGATCTGTCCACACCTGCACACCCAGTGAGCACATGGGCCGGAGAGCATTCACTCCGGGGCTGATCCATTGGTGCTCACAAGTGTCCTCTGAGCCTCTGCTCGAAGGGCGCACTTCCGCCTCTGGAAGCCTCGTTCCCCTCTCTCTCTAGGGTGGAAAGGATTCCACTTAGGAGCACTGAATTTAGGTTTATAATCCTTTCCGAGCTGTATCACAGCCAGGCTGTGACTTCCCTGCAGCCAGATGGAGCAATAGAGAAAGTGGGAAGGCGGAGGGCAAAGGTTCGCGCTAGGAGTCAGCCCTGGCTTGAACTACTGTGTGACCTTGAGCCGGTCACCTCCCCTCTGTGGGGCCGTTTCTTTTCCTGTGGCGTGAGGGGATCAGGGCTTTCCCTGCTCTGACCTTTCGTACTCTGTCTCTGCAGACAACCATCATGGCAGTGGAATTTGATGGCGGCGTGGTAGTGGGTTCCGATTCCCGGGTGTCTGCAGGGTGAGTACTGGGGAAGAATTGGAAGGAAGCTAAAAGCCCCGAGACACATTCTTCCTGCCCATTCAAGAAAAGACTTGTGGACTCGAGCTTTGGAGAAATGGAGCTGATTTTTCCAAAAGGCCACTTATAATAAGATAATAAGTAGGTGCTTAAGTCTCTGAATTCCTGGAGGAGGCCCTGGGGTCTGATGCTTATGTGGCCTGTCCCTGTAGTGTACAGGTATGAGTATAAAGAATAGAGTCTTAATTGGGACCAGCAGTTGGCGTAATGGCTATGTCGCTGGACTCCCATGTAGTTGACGGCAGTTCAAGTCCCAGACTTGGTGGCTTAAACTCACGCCGGGCACGTGTGCGTGC